CACAAGAGCAACCCAAGCAACCTATGGCATCACTCAGTCTACACACAGAGGTCAAGGAAACAGTCTTATCTGAGCCAGCATTTTAAACTCTAATGTTCTCACAGAAAAAAAAAAAAAAAAAGTTCCCTTGAATCTATTTGAGAGCACAGAAAATCAAGAGGACTGAAACATTTTTGCCTAAGAAAATGGGTATATTTTTAAAACTATCCTGGGGTAGTACTAAAATGAATGTAACACTGGCCAATTGATAGGTAGAACATAAAACAGAAGGATAGTGAGACAGAGATCATTAGTTTCATACAGCCTTTTAAGAATCGGTAAATTGCACCCAAGTAGAATTTAAAACTTTTGCTCTATGCAAGACCCCTTTAGGAGGATGAAAAGACAAGATACAGTCTGGGAGAAAATATCCGCAAACCACATATCCCATAAAGGACTAGTATTAAGAGTCCTAAGGAGCTCTGAAGGCATCGTGCCTAAGGCATTTGACTGTTGACCAGAAGGTTGGTTGTTCAAACCCACCAGGCACTCCATGGTTGGAAGACTGGGTAGTCTTAATGTAAAGATTTACTGCCTCAGAAACCCAAAGGGGGTACTATCAGTCAGAATCCACTCAGTGGCAGTGAGTTTGTTTTTTTGGTTTTGGTATTAAGAGTTCTGGTGGTACTCACTGGTAAAGCACTTGGCTGCTAACCGAAAAGGTGAAGGTTTGAAACCACCAGTGGTTCTATGGGAGAAAAGACCTGGTGATCTGCTCTTGTTAAGATTACAGCCTAGGAAACCCTATGGGGCAGCTCTGCTCTGTCCTGCGAGTTGGAATAGACTTGATGTCACACAACATAACCCACAAAACTCAACAGTGGGGAAAAAAAAATCCAAGCAGGAAATAGCCAAAAGACACCATCAGGCATTTCACGAGACATATACAGGAGCACAAATCCCAGTTATGCCACTTTCAAGTTGTCATAAATCTTAGTGTAATAACTTCATTGGAAAGCTTCAAAAATGTCTTTGAGGTGAAATCCTACATTAATAGCTTATCAGCTGCTCAATTTTAAATCTATGAGTTTCTGTTGAGTCCTAACTGTTCACTGTGTCTGTGCAATAATATGTTCAGTTGTTAGAAGGCAGACTTAGAAATAAAGTAATAATTTCCAAGGAAGAAATAATACCAGTTGCTTGTTACTGATGAGAGTCCTTTGACATGAAATGCCATTCATTAATTTAGAGACCCTATGGAAAATAAGTTAGGGATAACAAGTAAATACACTTTTCAGTAATATTAAAATTATTTCAACATAAATGAACCTTTATAAAAATTGCATTATAAAATTGTTTTCTGTTTGGTAGTAGACATATGAAATCTCTTATTACTGTAGTTTGAATTAATAAATTCCTTGTTAAAAGGTATCTTTATGTTTCTATTCCATGAAAAAAGAACACATTTTAAGGTTTATCATTTTAAAGATCAAGATTTTAACTGCCATTAATAGAGATTCCTCCTAATCATACTTAGGACTAACACTTTCAGGTATTAGCTCTTTATTTGGAAAAGTGGCTTTGTTGGTGAGATACAGTATCAATTAGTTTTGTGAAAATTTGGTTTTCTCATCAGTGGCAGAAAGGGTTAGATGCCTACCTAAAATCCATTCTTTCTTAACTGAGAGGGAGTACTTCTTTACGGAGGTAGGTCGCCCAGTCTTCCTTCTGTGGAGCAGCTGGTGGGTTTGAATCACTGACCTTCCAGTTAGCAGTCAAGGCTTATCCACTACGCCACCAGAGCTCCTTTTCTATTTGTTGTTGTGTTGTTATGTGCCATGGAGTCAGACCCGACTCACAGCAGCCCCTTCTTGGGTTTTCGAGGCAGTATCACTACAGAAGTAGATTGCCCCATCTTCCTTCCGAGGAGTGGCTGGTGGGTTTGAACCGCCAGCCTTCTGGTTAGCAGTCAAGTGCCTTAGGCACTATGCTACCAGCGCTCCTTCTCTTTTTTATTAGTAGAATCAAATTTTGTTTGGAGTGGCACAGTGCTTAGTTAAAAACATATTTTCTGAGACTCTGTGCCAATCAATAGGGTTGGCTTGAGACCCAGCTCTGAACAATGAGATAATAGAAGCCTAATAGCTGGGGCTTTCTTCAGAGCTCCTTTTTCCTTCATGGAATGTTTGACCTTCATCTTTGCTGCATCTGTTCTACCAAGGAGGAACAAAAGACGCCATAACTAAGGAACACATTCACACACCCACACATATCTAGTTTTAAAATCCAGTTCACACAAAATGGGTCTAAATCCAATCCAACAACAAAAGTTCTAATTTTCTTCATGTCCAAATGTATAACTCCCTTTTTGGCAGAAACCTTGATCTCTGTCTTTACTATAGTTATTAATCTGTATATCACATCTTCCATCATTGCTGCCAATCCCAAGTGGTTGCCCTCCTTAAACTCAGTTGGGCTCCCACACCCCTTGCTGGGCTGCCTGTCTGCGAGAATCCCTCTTTACCTTTCTTACACCAATACCCTGCATCAGGCTTACCCACCCTCCTTGTCCACAAGAACACTCTCCTCCACCAGACTCCAGTTCACTCAGGCTCTGACATCCTGTGCCCCACTATCAATACTAGGGAGCTCTGGTAGCATAGTGGCTAAGGTACTTGACTGCTAACCAGAAGGCTGGCGGTTCAAACCCACCAGCCACTCCTCGGAAGGAAGATGGGGCAATCTACTTCCATAGTGATACTGCCTCGGAAACCCAAGGAGGGGTCACTATGAGTCGGGTCATAACCACATACAACAAACAATGTGGTTGATCATCTTTTTATGTGTAATTTGTTTTCCGTGAATTCCATTTGTATCTACTGTCCATTTTACTACTGAACTTTTTATTATTTTTTATTCTAATAAATGTATATGTGTGTATGTTGCAGATACTTTCTCCTAACATGTGTCTTGCACTTTATTATATTGGTAGCTTCTGATGCACAAAGGTGTTTTTTAACGTAGAATTTATCAGTATTTTATGATTTTTGTTTTTTGTATTATTTAAGCAATTCTTTCTCTGCAGTCTTCTATCAATCCACTTTCACCTATATTTTCATTATTTTTTAAGGTTTGCTTTTTCACATTTAGGTAATCTACTTGGAATTGGTTTTAGTATAATCTGTGAACTAAAAAGGACTCCTTGAGTGGTGTAAAGTGTTAATGAGCTTGGCTCTTTAATGGGTGGAGATCTGACTCTAGCTAGAGGTGCGGCAGAAGAAAGGCCTGGATGGATCCAGTTCCTGAAAACCAGCCATTGAAGGTCCTATGGCAATTTGACCCAGCAATTCTCGGTATATACTCTAGGGATTTAACAGAAGTGACACAGACATATGCATTGCTATGTTCTTTGAAGGAGTTCTGGTGGTGTAGTGGATAAGGGATGATAATCCACTACAATAGCAAAAAGATGAAACAAAGTAAGTGCCCCTCAACAGGTGAATGGATAAGTAAAATACAGTGCATGCATACAATGGAATACTATTCAGCCATAAAGAAAACTGAGTTCCCAGAACATCTTACAATATGGATGAACCTTGAGGACACTTGTGTGAAACAGTCAATCAAAAAATACTGTACCTTTATGCAATGACATTAAATATACAGAAATAAATGTTCCTTAGTGGTTACCAGGGGTGAGGGGATAAGGAAAAGAGTATTCTCAAGGTAGTAGTCACTTCCCGTTTATAGAAATGGGAAAGGGAGCACTGAGTATGGGTGAAGTTTGCATAGCATGAATGATGTAACTGATGTCAATAAGCTGTAGAGAAAAGGGCAAATGTTACATTGTATATGGTTTTGCAACAGTAACAACCAGAAAAGGCTGTATGGGGAGTTGGGGAGACACCACTTTAATTACCTCTGGGATCTAACCTCAAGGGTTACTTAGAAACAACCAAAAGGGTAAAGATTACTTTCAAAACAATTCAATTTTCAGGACAGAAAATGGGTTTAGTGCCAAGTTTTTCTTTAAAGAGGAGGAAAGTAGGTCTGAGTAATATAGCCACCTGTATTTGAGTTGCTGAAAAACTAACACACTATATACTTTGTCTGAATTAATTTATTTATAGATAGAACACAGCCATTCAAAATCTTAGAACACAGTATCAACAAAACAGAGTAAGGTTGGAGAATTAGGCTGACTTGTTATAGTCCACATTATTAATAAATATTTTAAGAGGCAAATGTTTTTAAAAGCTTAAGACTAATGACAACACATACAAGTAATTAAAAGTTTCTAAGTTAACTGGCATACAGCTTGATTTTCAGGCTGAAAGATTATAATAATCACCTATACATTTCACTTACATGTCAAACAATACAAAAGCATTTTAAACAACTTGTGAATTGTGAATTAAACTGTACTGTATTAAGCCCAAGTTTATTCTACAGCATTTCATCATTTGCCTGGCCTGAGTTTCCAGGTAGAAGACATGCTAGCCACCAGTAACCCAAATCAATTTATCTACCACTAATAAGGGGTAAAATCTAGTATACATGTTTTGGAAGAGAAATTAGTTTTGAATGCCAGGAAGAATTTCTGACAGACTGGGAATTCTCTAGCTTAGCCACTGATTAGCTTTATGAGCTATTTGAGTCTATGCTTCAGTTTCTCCATTTTTAAAATGAGAATTGGACTCAATTTTGCCTGAAGACCTACTGAAGCACAGTATTTTGCAATTTCTTCCTGCCCAGTCAAGTTTACCATACTTTTATTTTTCAAAATTAACTTCCAAAGTTCTTTTAAATAACTTCTTTCTAACCCATGATTTTTTGTTTCAAAACCTTTGTCTAATCCTTCAGTGTTCCTAATATCTCCATTGAACCCATTCTTTCACGTGTCTACAATGACTGTAACAAAGATCACTATGTAGATTGGAGGTAGCCATTCTACCCAGTGAAGATTACAATCTAATCAGGTATTCAATTTACCTACTACCAATCTGACTCTTGAAGGTTTTGTGCCTCAACCTCCATACACAACTTCTACTGTTGTCCATCAAACATTCCCTGCCTGTGTAAGTTCCTTACCCTTATATGAAGGGGAAAACCTGACAAGAATTTTCAGAGTTTGCATTTAAGTGACATGGTTATACAATTTTAGAATAGCCAAATTATTTGCAGTCTCCTATAAGGCAAGGCATCAAAATTTGAAAAGGTAATCAATCACTCACTCATACATTTGCACTGATACTTTCTAAAATAGCTTCAGTTCTTACATAGTTTTAAAATCAACCTATCAAGCAAACAGTTTTGCTTTTAGTCTAATTTCACAGGTACACACCAGGATAAACCTAAGAATGTACACTTTTCCTAACTCACAACCATAAGCATAAAATTCTTCCCTGCAATTCATTCAAATATACTTACCAGTGGGCTTGGCAAGAAAACAATGAATAAAAAGGCAAGCAGTAATGTAATTCATGCCAGACCAACACTGGAGAAATAACATGGGAAGCGCACACACATACACACACAAACTTTACAAAAGTTGGGAATACTCTTAATTTCAAATAAGCAATGAGTAAAGTGGGACTTTCATGCCAGAAGTCCCATTCAGTCAAAATCACGATTTGTAAGAACAAGTGGTGCCACCAGTGTCCAAACATAAAGCACGATGCCAATCCAACTGGAAGAGATTTTCACCCAGACAGCCGTCCACTGACTTCTCATCTCACGAGAAGGCTCATACCTAGTATTTAAGGAAAACAAAAAGGAGAAAGGCAGCAGTGGACTGTCAGTCATCAAACTACAAAGAAAACTTCATTACTTAAGGAGTATTCTCTGTATATAATTTGTGGTTAACAGATACATAGCTGCTGCTTCAAATTTGCTGCCTTGCTTTCCATACTACTTTAATAGCTGGTGTGAAGGTTAAAAAAAAAAAAAAAGTCATTTTCTTTAATGGAGTACAACACATAGGCCTTTGAAACAGCCCATTTACATAATACTGAGACTATTTTTAGGAGCTCTGGTGGCGTAGTTCCTAAGGCATCTGACTACTAACCAGAAGGCTGGTGGTTCAAACCCAACGGCCACTCCTTGGAAGGAAGGTTGGGCAATTTACTTCCATAGAGATACGGTAGCCTCAGATGAGTTGGGTCTGACTCAACAGCACATAACAACAACAATGTATTTCTGGATTAATAGTGGCTTATTAAATAGCAGAGAAATAAAATGTGGGCTCTGTATAAATAAGATGTTACTATTATATAAAACTTACGTAAGTTTTACCAATCTTATGTTGTTTAGAACTAACCTACCATGTGTTCAAAGTGTATATAAACCCTCACCCCACTTTCCAACCTTCTCAGATTACAAGATAGGAAGGAAATGTACCCCAAATTTTGCTGATTGGCTAATGAAACATACCAAAAATCTTTTCAATCTGAAGTGTTAAAATCTACTATTACTTGACAGCCAAAGCCTTAAATAATAGAGAACTATTTGGATTCTTATACCTAAATAAGCCCTAATATAGAGATTTTTAAAAATAGATACTTTTAAATGATAAATATCATTAAAGGCTAATCTCAGAGAAATGAGATTTTTTTTTTCTGTATCTTTTGCTGGTATTGAAACTCTTCTTACAAACTACTTAAAGATATTATGCATTAAAAAATATTTAAAACTAAAATGCCCAAACCATATAGTTTAATGTGCATCTTAAACCAAATCTTTCAGTGGTCATTTGGACAAAATTAGTATTTCTTTTAAAAATTAAATAATATAAATTGCTATCCTTCTCCTGGCAGAAGATCTATAGATTAGTTTTGAAATGATATAAAAAAAGCATACAACTACAGTTTTGAACAACAAACATGAATTAATATATTCACACCTCAATTTAAAATTTCCAGAACTTTTAATGACAAAGTTCAAACAAATCAGAAGAAAGGCAGTATCCTTTACTGCCCTAGGTCAGAAACTGGCTACAGGAATAAAAATAAATAAATTAAAAATAAACATGTTGTGTTGGATAAAGTATAAATACACATTCCTATAAAAAAAGTGTGTGTTTCATGGAATTTTCCATTTTAATATTTTCAAGATTTGGAATTATTTCAATGTTTCTTTTACTATTAAACCAAGGAAGTGAAGTTTACATTTCTCACACTGACCTCACTGTTCACTTTGCTGTATATTTTGAAATGCACTGGTGAATAATTCCTTTCACATCATAGTTTGCAATGAAAGAGCCATCACAATTCCCACATCCATATTTTCATGAAACATAAGTACCTGTACCAGTTGGTAAGGGTCATCATGATATAAAGTGAAGCCAGGAAAAGCATGAAGTGAAAGAAGGAGTAACTGTAAGTGACACCATCCCTTTCATTATCTACAGCTCGGTGAACATCATCTCCATCCTCCAGTGATCCATCACTTCTGGCTCCACCATCTTCTATCAATGTCGATTCATCACTTGTTAGAGTCAATTTATTAACTTGACTATTGTTTGAAGTACGGATGCTGTTAAAAACGGCAGTTTAGGAAGAGAGAATGAAAAAAGGGCATTTCCTTAAGAAATAATTCATAAATGAATAGTTGGACTTGTTTAAAAAAAAAAAAAAAACCTCCATAGCTTTCCTTACCTTGAATAAAACACACACAATAAAAAGAGGATGAGTCCTATAATTCCTTGAGCATGCCACCACTGCACAGACTGCCCGTCCTTTGGGACAGTGCTTGTTGTATTGTAGCCAATTATACTTAGGAGACTTGGGTTGCAGTTTGTTTCTATGACATAAAATATAAAGATCATATTAAAATGTTAGAATAATATGGAAAATAATGTTTTTCACAGCATAAATGGAGTTCTTTTTAACTCTTCATCAACACCAGCCTTACAAATGTGAAAAGTTTTACTGAAAAAGGTCACAAATATTTATATGAAAATGTAAAAACAATCTATGCGTTACTAATGAGACATTTTAAGTTTTATAGTGTTCATTTTATAGAAATTCTTGAAATTTAAATAGTTTCATTTTCAACATTGTACTGTGGTGGCTTGCATGTTGCTGTGATGCTAGAAGCTATGCCATAGATACTTCATACCAGCAAGGTCACTCATGGTGGACAGGTTTCAGTGGAGCTTCTATAGACTAAGGCAAGCTATGAAGAAGTATGTGGCTGGTGGTCCACTTCTGAAAAAACTGTCCACTGAGAATCTCATGGGTATCAGTAAAACATTATCTGATACAGTGCCAGAAGTTGAGACCCTCAGGTTGGAAGACGCTCAGATACACTTGGCAGAGAGTTGCCTCCTCAAAGGAGAGTCAATATTAATGGTGTAGATGGAATAAAGCTTCGAGAACTTCACCTGCTGATACGGTATGACTCAAAATGAGAAGAAACAGCTGCTAATATCCATTAATAATTAATTCATAAAAAGTATGAATCTAGGAAAACGAAGTTGTAAAAAATGAAATGGAATGCATAAATTTGATATTGTAGGCATTAATGAGCTGAAATAGACTGTTATTGGCCATTTTGAATTAGAAAATCATATGTCTATGACGTAAGGAATGGAAAACTGAAGAGTGGTATTGCACTTATCACCAAAAAGAACATTTCAAGATCTATCCTGAAGTACAATGCTGTCAGTAATAGGATAACATTCATACATCTATAAGGACAACTAGTTAATAAGACAGTTACTCAAATTTACATACCAAACACTAAAGCCACAGATGAAGAAACTGAAGATTTTTAACAACTTCTGTCATATGAAATCAACTATACATGAAATCAAGACGCACTGGTAATTGTAACAAGAAAGTTGGAAACAGAATCATCAGTAGCTGGAAAACAGGGCATGGTGACAGAAATGATGCTGGAGATCGGATGATAGAATCGTCTGAGACCAATGACTTACTCATTGTAAATACCTTTGTTCAACAACATAAAGGGTGACTATACACATAGGCAGGAGCTCTGGTAGTGTAGTGCCTAAGGCACTTGACTGCTAACCAGAAGGCTGGTGGTTCAAACCCACCAGCCACTCCTTGGAAGGAAGATGG